CAGTTGGGGTGTGTGATGGAAGCGTGCCTGGCGTGCGCACTGCGCTGCTCAACTCAGAGTAGTAGCGAGATATGGAGAGAAGGGACACTTGGGGAGGCGCGTCTGGCATACACAGTGTTCGAGAGTGTTGATCAGGGCGTGAAGTCCTCGCTAGTGGATGCTGAGGGGAGTCACCGTGTGGAGGCGGCACAAAGGATGGATGAGAGCTCAAACGGACGAAGCATTACTAACGCGCGCCCAGGAAACTTAGTCGTCCTCGCTGCTGTTAAGGACCTCTTCAAGGGAGCACCTGCACTCGCGGAGGCCGGATGAACGAGCAAGCAAAGTCCTGATCCTAAACGAAAACGATCATGCAATCTACTCGCAGGGCGAACTCATGAGGGCCGCATTGCAGCCAGGAAGTATGAGAAATCGAGAAGGTGCTAGTGATATAAGGACTGTGAGAAGGAAGTTGCGCGACAGGCGTTCGCAGGTCGCGTTGGAGACTGTCTGAGAAGTGGTCTTTCTGCAAGCGGTCAGCAGGATCGGGCCAGCCAGATGCAGCAACGCACGCTGTGGACAAATTGACCATTATCGCTCGAGAACTGTGAGCACCATTGCGACGATTGAATCGGGAGCCACTGCGCTCGTGGTGGGAACCGCTATTATCGCTCAAAAGGGGGGACTGTCTTTGTCATAGGAGATCGGGAGCTGCTGCAACTGGCAGCAAGAACGACCACCACGGTGTGAGACAAAGATAACCATTGCCTCTGGTGATTAGGAGTCGCGGTTGCTGGCAGAAAGGCCAACTACTATTGCCTAAAATGAGCTTCATCCTTACTGCAGAATGGGTGAATACCCGCTTCTGGGTGTTGACGGGACCTGACATCTCGCCAGTAGCAACAGCAGCGACGTGAGTGGACATGAACTGCAATCGACTGATGATACTGGAATCTCGCGTGTGGAAACGACAACCACTTTCCGCTGATAACGGAGTGTGTCATCCCGCCAGTGGGACCAACGGTTACGCAAGTCAAAGTCACAGCAACATTCGACTGATGATCCAAGTAAGGATTCAAGCCCACCTACGATGAGGTAAGTGAGCATCTAAACAATTGTTGATGATGCGCAAAGATCGTTGCGAATATGCTTTTGTTGGGACTTGGCGGGATGGCGACAACGAATTTCCTAATCTAGAGCCGTTTCCGATATGACCAAGTGTGTAATCCCGGGCTTCGTGCACCACTAGCGGCAATTGAGATCCTTACCACTCTTCCTTGATCTGTCCTCCCTGATTCGGAAGTGTTTTTCTTAGTCTGAAAGTCAGCTGATCTGGGTCGTTGCTCCCACAAAAATTGAGAACACACAGAGTTAGCGGTTTCCTATAATTTGAGTAAGAGAACTCGATATACAATGAATTATAATTTCAACTTCTTTTCCATTTTTTTTTCTTTTTCCACTTTTCGAGAATTCAAGAGAGAGGGTACAACAGCCCCATCAATCCTAGAGTGTAGCAAGCGTAGTGCTCTCTTGTTCTATATAAAAAAAAAAACTATAGCGGGAAACTTGGATGGTTCAGCGAATCGACTTCGTAGAAAATGGGACGATTGCTCATACATATGAACTAAAATTCTTGAGGGTTCAAAAATTCTCCATCATCGTCATAAGCTGCAGATCAAACCGCTCGCTCTCGAACTTGGATCGGTACTGAAACCTGTTGATAAATGGGACGATTGCTCGTTCATGTGAACTAAAGTTCAAGTGGGTCTGAGAATTCTCTCAAAACTACTCATCAGCGTATTCTATGACACTCTTCAAGAAGATGGTGACTGCAGGAAGACATTCTGTTTAAATCAAGTGAAAAACCAATAGTCGACTTGCTAACCCCCCCCCGAGGCCGAGTTAGTGGCTGTACTCATCGCCACAAAAGAACCAATGAAAGGACAGATAAACGGGGGGGGGGGGAGATCAGGAGCGCGCAGTCAGGTAAAAGGGAAGAGCTCTGTCCGCTGGAGCGGGTGTAAGTGAGCACATTTGAACCAGAACCTGTCACGCACTGGGCATGTCTCGGCTGACTGAGTTGTGCTTTTCAAAAAAATATATATAAATAAAAACAAAATTAAAATAGAGAAAGCTTGTGGACTGTCTCCCTTGATTCAAGACGACTACTTAAAGTGGCATTATTAATATGAGGAGATTGTCAACAAGCCTACCTAAATTGTGTTATAAGGACCCTGATCTGAGAAAGCCCTAAGCTAAGGCTGCTCGAAGATTGAGCTTGCTATTCTGACCAGTCAGGGACGTGCGAGCGCACAAATTGATTTACTGTGAGCACAATTAAAACCAGGGCGAGCCCTCGAAGGAGAATCTGGGTGCAGAGGAAAGATCCACTTAATGATGCTAAAAAATTGTTTTTGATCATATTCTCTATATTTCCAGTTCCTCACCTGAAAGATTTTCCGAGTAAAAAGGAGGGGCGTAAAAGGTGTCTCAGTTCCGGACCCGCTGCTGGTCGCTTTTTGGTGACGTCGGAAGCGGGCGCAGCGAGTGACAGGCGTAAAAAGGAGGGGCGTAAAAGGTGACGTCGGAAGCGGGCGCAGCGAGTGACAGGCGTTGTAACCCTTGGCTACAGCAGAGAGTAGGCGACCCCTCCCCGGGTTTCCTCATAACTTTGGCGCCGTTGCAGGGGAGGGGACTGCACCCCCAAGGCCTCGGCCTTCCCCTATCAAACGGGGGTGCACAGGCTAATTAGCCAGTGGGTGATTAGTTTGGGAGGTTAATTAGTTGTTTTTTTTAATTTTTTTTTTAAGTAATTCGTTTTTTGTAAATATCTTTTGATTCGGACGTTTTGCGCGAACAGTCTCCGGATCAAAGTTCGTCCTTCCATTGAGGCGAATATCTTGGTACTATTTTTACAAAAATCTAATGGCTAGAAACTAAATCTTTTTTTTTTTTTTTTTAAATATTATTCCAAAAATCTTAATTTTCTTTTGAAATGAATTACGGGAAATTAAAGCCGAAATTGGAGACGTCTTCTTACAGCAAAGTTGTCCCGTTTATTTTTCTCCACGTTTTGAGACTTTGGTCGGGAAAAACGGGCTTCATTTGTAGGAACGGCGGCCCCAGGCAGAAACAAAAGTAAAAAAATATAAGGGGAAATCTTGATTTTTTTCGCAATATTATTTAAAAGAAAAGTGACGAAAAAAAGAAAGAAAGTAATCTGATAACTTTTAACCTTGAACCTAAAGAAATCCAACGAAAAAGTTTTGCGGTGATCGGGGGGTTTCGGTGCTCGTGCGATTGCGCACAAAACCCAAAACCCTCATTGGGGGAAACCCTAATACGAGTATAGGCAGGGTCACCGGCGTTCGGGACGGGCCGAACGCCCGAACCCGAACGCCCGAACGTACGGGACCCGTCCGCCCGGCGTTCGGCCCGAACGCAACGTTCGGCCTAATGCTGCGCCCGCACAGATGGTTTTTTTTTTTTTTTTTTTAAATAGGGGCGTGTTTGCGGAGGTCGCCCCCCGCGCCTGTGCGGCTTTAAAAAGTGAAAAAAAAAAAATTCAAATTTCTCTCCCCCCCCCCCACACAATCAGCGAAGAAACCAACCTGCAGGCAGGGGAGAATAAGCCGGTGCTCTCGCATTTTCAGGGAGTGTTGCTCAGTCAATTTTTTAAGGGAGTGATCCTCACTCATCCATTGTTTGAAGAGTGTCAAATGTGAACATATTCATCCCCCAAAGCAAGCACAACAGCAGTATTAACAGCCCTACTGTTATCCTCCAAGCACTGAAAACAATATGAGCATAGTACAATATATGAACTTGACAAAAGCAAACACAGCAGAGGATGGGAGGGAGGGAGGAGGGAGGGAGGGAGGGAGGGAGGGAGGGAGGGAGGGAGCGAGGGAGGGAAAGAAACCTGCAGGTAGGCAGGCAAAATAAGGCCAAGGGCAAGGGCAAGTCCTCTCTTGTGTATTTTTTTTTTTAAGGGAGTGTTCCTCATTCATAGATGCAGAGGATGTGAACAACTTCACCCCCAGAGAAAACACGAACACACACACACACACACACACACACACACACACACACACACACACACACACAGAGTATAGTATTTAACAGCCCTGGTCCTTAACTCACTCAGAAATACAAGGAAGGAGCATATGAACTTCATTTAACAGCCCTGGTCCTTCATAGAATGACAGCAATTTGCTGTCAGTCTATGGCAACAAAGAATGATGCAACCAGAAGCTTTTCAGCAGCAGACTGATGTACATGAAGACGTCACCCATCCAGCCTCCACGACACACCAGGTAATAGGTATGTCCTCCTCTCTCCACGGCTCATCCCTTGTCTGTCCCAACCACAGGCTGTCCTCTTTGCCCAAGGACCACCACAACCCCACCGGCATTCATGCACGTACGGCCCGACAATGGCTGAGGTGTGCAACGCTGTTCCCACAGCGCCCTTCTCCAGCGCCCGTCCGCGCGTCAGCTCTGGCCAGTGTGCCTCCTCCAGCGTGTGTTCCGGCAGGGCCCATGAAGCATGCACCAGCCAGAATGTGTCTGGACTGGTGCCCAGCACTTTCCTTTATGGAAAGTGTGTGCTGCCTGGAACCTGCCTGGGCATGTGCGCGTGATACCCTGAGAATTGCTGCGAGGTATAGGACTGACCTGACATTTCTGGCCCTGTGCTGCTCACAGGGAGCACCCCGTCCTGGACAGGTGGGTGGCAGGGGCTGTAGGCTTTGGAGGTTCTCCCTCAAGGAGCTGGCATGTGTGATCTTGAGGAATATAAGAAACCGAGGTTAAAGTTTAGTTGGGCCAGGGATCCAATCAGACAACGGACTGAATGCATACTCAGAGCAGCTAAGAGGTATGGATGGGAAAATTGCTTCTGGTCACAAGACTCACAAGTGTGCTTATATTGGAACAGTTTGGGGAGTGGATATGGGAAACACACTCAGATGGGCCGTTGACCACAATTGTCATCAGCAGTTGGCTGTAGTGCGTCCATCTCAGGGATACTGGCCTTTGTTGTTAGCCGTGGCTCTGGCCCTAAACAAACAGGAGCTCTCATAGACGGGCTGTAGTGGTCCACGCACCCAAGCAGCGCATGGCGACATCTCGCAGTCCCCGATGATCACCCCCCTGAACCCTCCACCACCTCACGGGATCAAAGTCGGGCTGCTCGATCTCTGCATCTCCGATGGGTCCCCCCCAATGACTAGGTGTGGGATACTTGCCGTGGAAGTCCTGCAAAGAACTCCACACGACAGTCATCTCATCGCCCTCTCGGCCTCCCGCGATCTGGCTCGCGATGTAATCAAGCGCGCTCCTGCACCGTCCCTCGCATCAAGGTGTCAATGCTGCGGTACTTGGGGTGTAACAGGTACGCAGCGCAATGAATGGGGGTGAGGAGCATATCTGACCTCTCCTTGACTATCTTCTTTATGGGCTGGTGACAAGCCTCATCAAGAGATAGTCGATCTACGGTAATCTGCAGCCTCTCCAGCAGACCCCACACATCGCCGACCCTACGCCCGTCAGAATCAACCTGCTGGAGGAGCTCATGAATGGGGCCCATAATGGTGGCAACCAGATCCACCTGCTGCCACCACTTGGGGTCGCGGAGAAGGTCAAAGCACCTGTGTGCGCCATCCCTCAATGCGGGGAGCCATGCAGTCGTCGCCCAAGCACTGCTGCTAACACAGGCATCCAAAAATGAACGCAACTCCGACATGCGCCTCAGCATGATCAAGTTGGTCCCGTACCGCGTCTCCCCCGGGCGAATCAAGGACACAGGAGGAGACTGCCGACTCAAGAGGTACGCTGCCCGTGCGTGCCGCCGAAAAAACAAAGTGATATCTCGCCCCTCCGCGACGACCTGTGCAACCCACGGCTGTCTGGCGATGTGCGTGAGCATCAAATTGCAGCAGTGGGCTGCGCAAGGGATCCAAGCGATCTTTCGCAATGAAAGATCCTGGTCATTACGGAGCAAACGGTAAGCCTCCTTGTTGGCCAACGCATTGTCCGTACATATCGMYACCACATGCTGARCGCCGRTCKCCARAATGAGYTCCCTCCATCTGAGGTATAKACSTGCTCCGGTCCGCTCCCTACCGAACATATCCTCAACACGGTACAGGGATGCACCCAACCTCCCTGCAACCAAGTAGTTGCAGAGAGGGCGGTTGGCCTGAGTCGACCAGCAGTCCGTCATGAAAGTGACCCCCTCAGACCATGATTCTCGGTGATACCGTAAACGCTCATCGAGCTCTGCGTACAACAGGGACAACAGAGTTGTGCGCAGTAACTCAGACCCCGGCTGGTGCGGTCGGTACGGACCCTTGAACTGACTGAGGTAGACGTCGTGTAGAGCCAAATACCACTCCGATCTAGCGACGTTGAACGGGATACCACAGCCCATGAAGAATCTGATGTACGCCATGTCGAGGTCGTACTGGATGGGGTGCTCGACCCAACCGTCGAGACGAGTCTGGGTCACTCTGGGCACTCGGTGGCGAGCCTGTCTCCGCTCCATAGGTTCTGCCGCCAGCCCTTCCTCGAGGTCGGCAGGGACATGTATGCCCTCGTCTCTCGCTTGCTGGAGCATCCTCTCCCTCCACCACTGCCGCTCGTCCCGCGGACCGCTTGCAGCCCCATCAGGCACACATCGTCCCCTCCCTGGCTGCAAATGTGAATCATCATGCGGCCTCTTCCCCACCGGATCAAACCGTCTCGCATTTGCGTGCTCTGCACGCACTTTTTCGTCCCCTACTCCTTCTACCCCTGACGGGCCCTCCCCTGCTCCACGCGAGCCCTCTCCTGCTCCCTCTACCCCTGACGGGCCCTCTCCTGCTCCCTCTCCCCCTCCACCAGACGTGCCCACTGCTCCAGAGGCGCCCACTCCCTTGAAGGGGCGCGCTCCGTCCTGCCATACCACCGGTGCCGGACCTTCTCGGTTTGCCTGCCCTCGTCCCCGTGCCAAATCACGCGCGGGGACCAGGGGGGGCTGTCGTGCCACACCACCAGGCAATCTCCAGTTGAGGGGATGCTCGAAATCGAGCTCACCCTCCCTGTCAGCCTCCCGCACATAGACAGGGAGTGAACCCTTCAGGGCTAGGCCCGCCCTTTGCAACTCCCTAAGAATGTACACTCACGCGTGCGGGCACCTGTCATGCTCGCGTGCGGTGCTGAAATGCGAGGCGGCCTTGGTCTGGTTGCCGACCCACCGGTGACCACACAATCTGCAACGTAGCTCGTGATTGCCCTTCGGATCCGGTCCCGAAGGGCTGATCCATACCTGCCCCTTCTGCACGTACTTCCAGATGACGTGCTTCGATCGAGGGTCGTTCTCGAAGTCTTCATTAGGCACGAACTCCGGCCTGTGCGCCATGTTGGCGCTCCCTCCGCGCCCCCCTCTGCCCACCCATCCCTACAAGCCTGCAACCTGGCGTGTGCGATCAAAGGAACACGGGAATTGACAACGACGTATGCTCCCCTCGAACGTGACTGAACCGATGCCGATGAAATGCAGAACAGACTTGCACGATCAATCAACCGATCAACAAATCAATAAGGGACGAACTCTGGCCTGAGCGCGCGCACGTGTGTGTGTGTGGGAGAGAGAGAGAGAGAGAGAGAGAGAGAGAGAGAGAGAGAGAGAGAGAGAGAGAGAGAGAGAGAGAGAGAGAGAGAGAGAGAGAGAGAGAGAGAGAGAGAGAGAGAGAGAGAGAGAGAGAGAGAGAGAGAGAGAGAGAGAGAGAGCAGCAGCAGATCAGATACATACCAAAAAAACACAGCAAAAGACTCAGACTTGGAATCCTCAACAATAAGATCAAAAGCAGAATCTCTCTCAGTGAAAAGCAGATTCCTCAATCTGAAAACTGTGTGGGTTATTTCATCGGCCAGATTCCTCAAACTGAAAACTGTGTGGGTCATTTCATCCACACACCTCGCCTGAGGCACTGCCCAGGCACAAGTACATGCACCTGAACATTAGTGACATGCAGGTACATTCACCCAGAGAATCTTACTGGGGGGCACCAAGGTCTATTATTTCCCAGAGAATCTCACTGGAAAGCAAATCTCTCTCTCTCTCTCTCTCTCTCTCTCTCTCTCTCTCTCTCTCTCTCTCTCTCTCTCTCTCTCTCTCTCTCTCTCTCTCTCTCTAAGGTAAACTAGGACCCTTAGGCTCGAGATGATAAACTTTTACTCATCGCCATTGAGGTACCCGAGCCAATGGTCTGTAATTCGATCAGAGAAACAAGTCGCCTACCCATGAACCCACCAACCAATCAACCAATCGATGAATCAATCAACCAAATCAATCAACCAACCAACCACCTACCAGTCAAGCCATCAATCAATCAATCAATCAATTAATCAACCAATCAATCAATCAAATGACCCTGTCAATCAACCAATCATTAAACCACAATATCGATCAATGCCATCAGTTAACCAAGTCAGTGAACAAAGCAATCAGTAAACCAACCGTTCCAACTAATTAGTTAGTTAATCAATCAAGGACTAATCAGTCGCCCAGTCAATCAGTCAACCATTCAATCAATCAATGACCAACCCCCCTATCAATCAATCACCAAATCAACCAACCAATCAATCAATCAATAAATCAATCAATCAATCAATTATTCAACCAATCAATCAATCAATCAATCATTCAAACCAATCAAGCAATCAAGCAATCTATGATCCTGCCCATTTTATCAATCGAATGTATTATCGGGCTTATAATGATTAATCTTGCAATTCGAGAAGTGCTTTCTTTAACATATGACTTGCCAATTCAGGCCTCATATTTTCAGAACTTCAAAAGAAGCAGAAATGAAAAAACAGGTATTATGTGTAAAAAAAAGGCGGGAAAAAGGAAGGTATTTCCAACCATATGTGACTTGGCTGATGCCTTTTTTTATCCGTATGACCATGTCATCCGCGCAATTGGGGGTTGGGGGGATTGGGAGTGTCGAGGGAAGCGCAACACGCCATCCGCGTAGGGAGAGAAGGGGAGGGAGTGTCACAAAGGTGGTGGGGAAAGTGCTACTCACACAACGGCAGGGGAGCGGCAATCTCGAGGAAGGCGCACATTTTTTTTTTTTTTTCCACACCAGTGCGTGAATAAGCCAGAGGCACAAAGGCTGTCCCTATCCAGATTCGAAAGGTAATTGAATTGGTTGGGCTTAAGGAATTAGCCTTAAAAAAAAAAAAAAAAATAAAAATAAAAAAAATGGTGATAACTTGTCGTCCTCTCGATTAGGAGGAAACCGCGGGGGTGGGGGAAAGGCGGAAGGCGAAAGCGGCTGTTGTCCTGTTCACTAAAGCGAATATGATCGTGACAGACAGTTCCGTCGTGCTTCCACAAACTCTTCAGAGGTTGAACCCGACGTGGGTGTTTGTGCCGTGCGTGCTCGCTCGAGAGTGTGCCCGTATAATCCTTACCTCCTTCCTTGGGTTGTGTGTGTG